GTTTCCATGGCAATGGATATGCAAAAAAATCCTTGCATTCGGGGCGACGGCCCTTCCTGACTGCAGCATCCTGACCTTCCCGTCTTCATTAGAGCAGCTCGGGCCTTGTGAGCTCAACACCATCCTCTCTTTATAGCAAATGGCCTTTTGGTGGCGTTACTATGGCAACGGGGCCTAGTGATGTTTTGGCTGAACCACTGCGACTCCACGCTACACCCAGCGGGAAACGTCCGTCAGATGTCAGTCCGAATGTCGTCCACAGCTGGGCTAAGCGAACCTCTTGCCTCCCCTCCACTCTCCGTACTCCTCCATGTCAGGGCTAGAAAAGAGAAAACTTCGAGAGGGCCTGGGGGTGCTTGCTGGATTGCTTTTTCATACTCTCTCCCACTCACTATCTCCCTCTGTTACACTCCGGCCCCCCTCTATTGCTCGCTCTGGCCCCCCTCTATTGCTCGCTCTGGCCCCCCTCTATTGCTCACTCTGGCCCCCCTCTATTGCTCGCTCTGGCACCCCCTCTATTTTGTTTGCCCTCAATCTTTTATTCTTTTGCGCACACTCAGTCCCTCTTTTTTTTCTTGCTCCATCTTTTTTTTGCTCTCGCCCCCTTTCTGGACCACTCCCTTTCTTTTGCTTGCTTTGGCCCGCCTTTTAGCTTGCTTTGGCTCCCACTTTAGCACACTCTGGGCTCCCCCCCCCTTTGCTCGCTCTGGCCCCCCCTCTTTGCTCGCTTGTTCTCGTGCCCTCTTTTACGCTCTCGTTCTCTTGTTCTTGCGCTGCCTCTTTCGCACTCCCTCTTTTGCATGCGTTCTCTTTCCCTTTTTTCACTTACTCTGGCCCCCTCTTTTGCACTCGATCTCACTCCCTTTTTCGCTCCCTCTTTTGCTCGCTCTGGCCCCTTCTTTTGCACTCGATCTCGCTCCCTTTTTCTTGCTTCCTCTTTTGCTTGCTCTGGCCCTCTCTTTTGCACTTGTTCTCGCTCCATTTTTTGCTCCCTCTTCTGCTCGCTCTGGCCCCCTCTTTTGCTCGCTCTGGCCCCCTCTTTTGCACTCGTTCTCACTCCCTTTTTCGCTCCCCACTTTTGCTCGCTCTGGCCCCCTCTATTTTACTTGTTCTCACTCCCTTTTTCGCTCCTCTGGCCCGCTCTTTTGCACTCGTTCTCACTCCCTTTTTTGCTCCCTCTTTTGCTCGCTCTGGCCCCCTCTTTTGCTCGCTCTGGCTCCCTCTTTTGCACTCATTCTCACTCCCTTTTTCACTACCTCTTTTGCTCGCTCTGGCCCCCTCTTTTGCACTTGTTCTCACTCCCTTTTTCGCTCCCTCTTTTGCTTGCTCTGGCACCCTCTTTTGCACTAGATCTCGCTCCCTTTTTCTTGCTTCCTCTTTTGCTCGCTCTGGCCCCTTCTTTTGCACTCGTTCTCACTCCCTTTTTCGCTCCCTCTTTTGCTCGCTCTGGCCCCCTCTTTTGCACTCTATCTCGCTCCCTTTTTCTTGCTCCCTCTTTCTATCCCACTACCTTTTTTGCTCTTGATCCCTTTCTTGCTCCCTCATTTGCTCGCTCTGGCCCCCCTCTTTTACACTCGTTCTCACTCCCTCTTTTGCTCTCCATCCCTCTTTTTCTCGCTCTCTCTTTTGCGCTCCATCTTGCGCTCCCTCTTTTTGCTTCCTCTTTCGCTCTTGATTGTGTACAGATATATCCTATATCTAACAGAAATCTAATCTCTATCTCTATATATAACACAGACAAACGTTTTTAATTTATTTGACTCTTCATTTCATGAACTTAAACTGCATTGTGGGAATGAGGGGCTCATTCACTTTTGATGTGTTGTGGTTTCATTCCTTGTGAATGGCGCCCTAGCTGTCCTGTACATTGCACTGTAATAAAATGCAGACAGCGGTCATCTTTTTCTGTACATTGACGGAGTTTTGAATGCGCTAGCTGCATATCAACGTGCGAAAATGCATGCACTTTGACGCATGTTTGTGGTGTGACTGGCCCCATTACTGGACAATCTGGTTCCTATGGGCGTCACATGCAGTTCTTGCAGACGTTTTTGCAAATAAGGCCCGGTGATGCAGTGTTGGTATCAATATCTGGCCACGTGAGGTAACACAATGAAGGTCCTGCGACCGAATCGCTAATATTCAGCCTATGTTCTCCTATGGAGACCCAACTAGCGAGATTATCCTTCTCTGTCACTGATTTGTTAGACGAAGCAACACGAGCGTGTGTTGAGCAGTAACTAGTGGGCTAGTAACTCTATAGATACCTGGACGCTCATTTTTCATAAATCTCCCCCCATAATCCTTTCCGTTGAGGACCGAGCCTGGGACAAAAGCTCAATTGTCTCTTCAGTAACCTTATCCCATGCAGAGTATCGACCACACAGATCCATGTTCCTAGTATACGCCGGGTGATGGCTATTGCATCTATCTGACCTGGAGCTTCAGGGAAACCTTCCCACAATGCAAACAGATCATGAATGATCCACACATAGGATCATAGAAGGAACTTTCTGGAAAGACGGCCAGATTATTGAAAGTGTGGACTTGATTTAAGAAAACCCTTCATTCTGATTTCATCAGATATCAAATGTTGCATCGTTTATTCTTGGAGTGCTCTAATGTTCTATAATACTGTATATCTTATATATGGAGAGCGGTGATATCATTTCCTGCTCAGGTCTTTGTTTCTCAACACTCTACGGTGTCCTTAGGATGGAGTGTCCTCCTCGCTGCTCGGGATCTGTATGGGGAAGCCCGTGGGAACACATCTGTAGGCTTTGCCCCATTAGGGCAGATTTCTGATGAGAAGAAAAGCTGTGTTGAGGGTAAACAAACCACTGAGAGTCTCAGAAACCTAAACAGAAAGTTGCCCCCGGGGGGTTAATTTGGTGAACACAATGAAGAATTCTCACTTTCCACCTCCCGATGACATAGCAGCCAGAGAACTCTGTTTTGTCTAAGCCGGTTATACCCGGGTAGAGTTTCGAAAAAAAAAAAAAAATTTGCCTTCGGAACGTTTGCTCAATTTTGAAATAGGGTCATATCCATCGTTCATCAATTTCGGTCTTAGTGGCGAAGGAAGACGAATGAGAAAAATCAAAAATCCATAAGTGAATTTGGTTTTCTTTTGGGAAATGCCATTCTGTCAAAATCGAGTGTTAAAAGCAAAAGAAAAATTTGAAGTACTTTCAAAAGATGCGTGTCAAGTCTCTGATGGAGTTATTGAATGCACTGATTTCGTGTGAAGGTTCTTAGGAAAATCTGCCAGCATGTGGCCCGCCTTATTATCTAATTTTATTTCTTGTGTGTCTAATATGCCACATTATCACTTCAGGGATTGACATCTAACAAATAACTACTGTTTTCATTTAGAACTTTAAACTTTTCTTTTAGTTTTTAACAAGTGTTCTCTTGGGCGAGATATAACCTCACTTCCCATCTTTTGTGATGCTAGGATAAGAGGGTCATGGGGTTACCAACACAGGAAAACACTAAAAGCCGTAAAAAAGAAACTTGAATCCCAACTAAAACTGACCATATCCTAGTAGAATTTATGACCAGCCACAATTCTATTAGTGTATGACCAGCCAAAATTTTATGGCCACCATAACTGCCCAGCTGAAAGCCGACTAGGGGGATGGCCAGCCGAAAGCTGACTAGGGAGATGGCCAGCCAAAATTCTATGTTAGTCATAATTGGCCAGCCGAAAGCCGACCAGGGGATGGCCAGCCGAAAGCCGACCAGGGGATGGCCAGCCGAAAGCCGACCAGGGGATGGCCAGCCGAAAGCCGACCAGGGGATGGCCAGCCGAAAGCCGACCAGGGGATGGCCAGCCGAAAGCCGACCAGGGGATGGCCAGCCGAAAGCCGACCAGGGGATGGCCAGCCGAAAGCCGACCAGGGGATGGCCAGCCGAAAGCCGACCAGGGGATGGCCAGCCGAAAGCCGACCAGGGGATGGCCAGCCGAAAGCCGACTAGGGGATGGCCAGCCGAAAGCCGACTAGGGGATGGCCAGCCGAAAGCCGACTAGGGGATGGCCAGCCGAAAGCCGACTAGGGGATGGCCAGCCGAAAGCCGACTAGGGGATGGCCAGCCGAAAGCCGACTAGGGGATGGCCAGCCGAAAGCCGACTAGGGGATGGCCAGCCGAAAGCCGACTAGGGGATGGCCAGCCGAAAGCCGACTAGGGGATGGCCAGCCGAAAGCCGACTAGGGGATGGCCAGCCGAAAGCCGACTAGGGGATGGCCAGCCGAAAGCCGACTAGGGGATGGCCAGCCGAAAGCCGACTAGGGGATGGCCAGCCGAAAGCCGACTAGGGGATGGCCAGCCGAAAGCCGACTAGGGGATGGCCAGCCGAAAGCCGACTAGGGGATGGCCAGCCGAAAGCCGACTAGGGGATGGCCAGCCGAAAGCCGACTAGGGGATGGCCAGCCGAAAGCCGACTAGGGGATGGCCAGCCGAAAGCCGACTAGGGGATGGCCAGCCGAAAGCCGACTAGGGGATGGCCAGCCGAAAGCCGACCAGGGGATGGCCAGCCAAAATTCTATGTTCACCATAACTGGCCTGCCAAAATCCTTTAAACATTGTGACCAACAATTTTTTTCAGAAATTCCACACAAACTTGCGAACAGAATTCTGATTTATGGCCTTATCAGCAAGTTTGTAGAAAATAGAAAAAAAAATCATAAAAAATATTTATTAGCGTGATTTAGATTGTATTTATTGCCTTTCTCCAAAAACTTGTTGACCACATTTGCTGACTGTTTCTCACCTCTTCCCTCCATCTCAGGTGTCCTTGTTTTTTTTTCTTATGAGACGGACCACGCCAGCCAATCAAAATAGAGTCCCTCAAGGTGAAAGTGGATTTTCTGGCGGCGCCTTTTGGCCTGAAGAAGCCTGTGCTGAAAGAGGCGGCGGCCGTGTTGGCAGCAGTTCCAGGGTCGGGGAAACCAAAAACCGTAAACGTGGATCGCCACAAAGGTCGCTACTCTGAAAACATGGACAACGAGTCCCAATATTCTGGGTACTCTTACAAGTCGGGGCAGTCCCGAAGTTCCCGCAAACACAGGTAAGAGATGATGGCCATTCAGAAATAAAAATTGATGCCATGGATGCAGCTATGCTTGCTCAGCTGCTTTGGGGCTTGAGTTTAGTAGGGTTCCAGTTAGGTGTCCTGCATATTTTCCCTTGTTTTCTCAAGGGCAGGTTGGTGGAGCGTTTTACGATTATTATATTGAGGACTTTCTTAATTGAGGCAAATTCTGGTGTTTTGGTTTTTATTTGATTTCATAGGAAATTTTGGGGCTAATTTGATAAATAACTGGGTGGTTGCTGCTTGTCCTATGCAGGATAGTCAAATGGCACACAGCAATGGGAGAGCAGAGAAGGGTCTGATAGGGTGGCAAGCATCAGAAGTTTGCTGCAGAGCTCTGGCTAACTTTGATACTGGATAAGACAGTGGTGGTCAGCTTAAGAGATATAGTGGGCTATAGATAAGGCCCCCAGCATGGCCCAAGAGCCATACAGGATGTTTAGTATATGATATGCTACAGCAGATGATCAGAGACTGGTGTCACACTACAGCAGATGGTGAACACACTTCAGGTGAAGGTCAGCGACTGTGGATATGCAGGTGATGACCAAAGTCTGTAGAGTGTCTACAGTCTCCGACCAACAGCTGTGCACATGCTACCGAAGATGGTTATAGACTGTTGATATGCTACAGTCAATGGCCTTAGACTGTGCACATGCTACAGTCAATGGCCTGAGACTGTGCACATGCTACAGTCAATGGCCTGAGACTGTGCACATGCTACAGGCAATGGCCTGAGACTGTGCACATGCTACAGGCAATGGCCTGAGACTGTGCACATGCTACAGGCAATGGCCAGAGACTGTGCACATGCTACCGGCAATGGCCAGAGACTGTGGACATGCTACAGGCATTGGCCGGAGACTGTGGACATGCTACAGGCATTGGCCGGAGACTGTGGACATGCTACAGGCATTGGCCGGAGACTGTGGACATGCTACAGGCATTGGCCGGAGACTGTGGACATGCTACCGGCATTGGCCAGAGACTGTGGACATGCTACAGGCATTGGGCCGGAGACTGTGGACATGCTACAGGCATTGGCCGGAGACTGTGGACATGCTACAGGCATTGGCCGGAGACTGTGGACATGCTACAGGCATTGGCCGGAGACTGTGGACATGCTACCGGCAATGGCCGGAGACTGTGGACATGCTACAGGCATTGGCCGGAGACTGTGGACATGCTACCGGCATTGGCCGGAGACTGTGGACATGCTACAGGCAATGGCCTGAGACTGTGGACATGCTACAGTCAATGGCCTGAGACTGTGCACATGCTACAGTCAATGGCCTGAGACTGTGCACATGCTACAGGCAATGGCCTGAGACTGTGGACATGCTACAGGCAATGGCCTGAGACTGTGCACATGCTACAGGCAATGGCCTGAGACTGTGCACATGCTACAGGCAATGGCCTGAGACTGTGCACATGCTACAGGCAATGGCCTGAGACTGTGCACATGCTACAGGCAATGGCCAGAGACTGTGGACATGCTACAGGCAATGGCCAGAGACTGTGGACATGCTACAGGCAATGGCCAGAGACTGTGGACATGCTACAGGCAATGGCCTGAGACTGTGGACATGCTACAGGCAATGGCCTGAGACTGTGGACATGCTACAGGCAATGGCCGGAGACTGTGGACCCCCCAAAGGCGGTGGCCGGAGACTGTGGACCGCCCAACAGGCGGTGGCCGGAGACTGTGGACCGCCCAACAGGCGGTGGCCGGAGACTGTGGACATGTTAGAGGCGTTCGTCAGGGACTTTGGCTTGGCATCATTATAGTCCCTTTACAAACCAATTCTCCTACTACAGATTCCTGAGCCCAAGAGATGCACAACACGGAAGGCATTTGTTTGTGTCTTGGACAGTCTCTGCTCATGCATAGTGCCCAATAAGCACTGTCCTTCTCTATGCCCTTTTCCGTTCATTAAATTTGTTTTTTGTTAAGCATTAAGGACTGTTTTATTCTGTTGTGTCCTCAGATGCTAGCAATGCGGTGCATGCCCCTGACCAACCAATAGAGCTGTGTCTATTGTGCGGTAGGATGTTGGGAGGATATGCAACTTTGACTAGGAGCAAAGTCTAAATTTACATTCTGAGTGCCACCCTGTTCATAGAAAGCTTGAAGTATTGAGCTTTAACCATTGGTTATAACATGTGACTTTATTTTGTCTGTACAGAGAACGGAGGGATCGTCATCGATCCAAAAGCCGGGATGGCAGCAGTCGCGGTGATAAGTCAGTCACCATCCAAGCTCCAGGAGAGCCTTTGTTAGACAACGAGTCAACGAGAGGAGAAGACCGGGTATGTCATCTCTAAATACCAGGAATTGTGGGGGACGTAAAAGGAATGCAGTTGACAGAAATCAATAAGATGTTGGTCATGATGGTCTCTTATCAAGTATTGGAAAAAAAAAAAATTGCAGATGGAATTGGGTTTTTTAAACACCATCTTCATCTTGTCCTTGTTGTTTGAACTTGTTGGAAGCAAAGCATGATGAGCACTCCTGTGCCATAACCCAACCAGAGAGAAAACTGCTTCAATTGTACCATATTCATAAAGGGGTATGATACTACACCCATTACGGTACCTTTTTTACTGGGGTAAAGTCTAGGATTGGCCGTAGCAACAAAGTTACAGTTCCTGAACCATTTCTGATGCATAGGCTATCACAGTTGCTATGTACAGCGTGGTCTGGAGGCTTGACCTAGATATTTGGCATTCATCTTTTCATTTTTCTTGAAAAGGTTAACTTGCCCTTTAACTAAAACTGGCCGTATCCAGTTAGATACCTGTATGAATGTTCGTGCCAAAATTCTAAAATATCGGTCAGATCATTCTTTCTTGTCATCGACGTAACCAAATTTTTTTGAAAGCCCTTAAAATGCCATCTAGAAGTATTAAACAGGTTTCATTATATTATGTACAATTCCTGAACGAAAACCCCATTTTATTTGTTTTGAGAGGTTTTCCATCCTTCTACTTTGAATTTTCTCGTCTCGGTCAAAAATGTATTTCGATTTGACCCCACTAACCATTAGAAAATCGAGCAGTCTGAAAAGGAAATCATTTCAAAGGAAATTCTACTGGTGTATAGCCAGCTTAGGAATCGTGGGGCCCTATAGATAGATTTTGTTATGGCCCCCAGTGCATGTTAATTTCAGTCATGTGCACTGCTCTGTGCATGCTACAAATCTCATAGTCCATCTCGGGAGCAAGCAAGGGAGGGTGGGTACATTCCTTCATACAGTGGGACCAAGAAAGGGTGGCTACATTCCTACATATAGTTTGACCAAGACAGGCTGGCTACGTTCCTTCATAGAGTGGGACCAAGAGAGGGTAGCTACGCTCCTGTATACAGTGGGACCAAGATGGGGTAGCTACGCTCCTGTATACTGTGGGACCAAGACAGGGTGGCTACATTCCTAAATACAGTGGGACCAAGACAAGGTGGCTACATTCCTCCATATAGTGGGGCCAAGACAATTTGGCTATGTTCCCTCATACGGTGGGACCAAGACAGGGTGGCTACACCCCTGTATACAATGGGACCAAGACAGGGTGGCTACATTCCTCCATATAGTGGGGCCAAGACAATTTGGCTATGTTCCTTCATACAGTGAGACCAAGACAAGGTGACTACATTCCTAAATACAGTGGGACCAAGACAAGGTGGCTACATTCCTCCATATAGTGGGGCCAAGACAATTTGGCTATGTTCCCTCATACAGTGGGACCAAGACAGGGTAGCTACGCTCCTGTATACAGTGGGACCCAGACAGGGTAGCTACGCTCCTGTATACAGTGGGACCCAGACAGGGTAGCTACGCTCCTGTATACAGTGGGACCCAGACAGGGTAGCTACGCTCCTGTATACAGTGGGACCCAGACAGGGTAGCTACGCTCCTGTATACAGTGGGACCCAGACAGGGTAGCTACGCTCCTGTATACAGTGGGACCCAGACAGGGTAGCTACGCTCCTGTATACAGTGGGACCCAGACAGGGTAGCTACGCTCCTGTATACAGTGGGACCAAGACAGGGTAGCTACGCTCCTATATACAGTGGGACCAAGACAGGGTGGCTACGTTCTTAAATACAGTGGGACCAAGACAGGGTGGCTACATTCCTCCATATAGTGGGGCCAAGACAGGGTGGCTACACTCCTGTATACAATGGGACCAAGACAGGGTGGCTACATTCCTCCATATAGTGGGGCCAAGACAGGGTGGCTACATGCCTGTATACAATGGGACCAAGACAGGGTGGCTACATTCCTCCATATAGTGGGGCCAAGACAATTTGGCTATGTTCCCTCATACGGTGAGACCAAGACAGGGTGACTACATTCCTAAATACAGTGGGACCAAGACAAGGTGGCTACATTCCCTCATACAGTGGGACCAAGACAGGGTAGCTACGTTCCCACATGCGGTGGGACCAAGATCGGGTGGCTACGTTCCCACATACAGTGGGACCAAGACAAGGTGGCTACGATCCTGTATACAGTGGGACCAAGATAGGGTGGCTACATTCCTCCATATAGTTGGGCCAAGACATTTTGGCTACGTTCCTACATACAGTGGTACCAAGACAGGGTGGCTACATTCCCAAATACAATGGGACCAAGACAGGGTGGCTATGTTCCTGCATACAGTGGGACCAAGACAGGGCGATTACGTTCATTCATACAGTGGGACCAAGCCAGGGTGGCTATGTTCCCAAATACAGTGGGACCAAGACAGGGTGGCTACATTCCTATATACAGTGGGACCAAGACAGGGTGGCTACATTCCTATATACAGTAGGACCATGGAGAACGAACTTAGACACCCTCTAACAGCTGGATCATGGCATCAAAACAATTTGGAGATTTGGAGGAGGCTAGAAGCAATAGAAGGAACTTTTTTTTTTGCGTTAACTATACATACTTGAATATATTTTTATGCATTTTTTTTTGTCAGTTTCAAAGTCCTCCAAGGGTCCCCTTCCTACCCTGGGCCCCCATAGCAGTCGCATGGGCTGCTCTATCTAGATCTACAAAAATTTGGCATCAAAAACCTTCCTTTTTAGCTACTTGCTAAACCATGCACGTCTGCAGCTGGAGTTCTGCTTTAGTCTGCTTGTTGCTTCTTCTTTCCCTCGCTTGGCCTGGAAGCGTGCGGATAGCTCTGCGTTGCAGCGGAAGTCTCGCTTGTTGCCTGCCATCACCTCGTGACTAATTATTTTCCGCCGGCGTCTGCAGCTTCAATTAACAGGAGAGTTTATTGATTCCTTGCAGCACTTATCGGCATCTCCAGACGAGATGCCGTGGCGCAGCGCTAACAAGCAAGCCCGGCTTCGTAAGCGAGACAGGTCCTCGTGGCTTTGGCCTGATGCCAGGGAGAGCTTGCGAGAGGATTCGCAGCACAGGGGTCGCCGGCTCTCGACCGCCATTGGCTGGCGGTGATATCATTGTTTCCAGGCCATGTGAAGTCCAGGAGGAGATGGCGGAATTTTTTTTTTTTTTTTTTTTCTCATTTACTATGGAAACTCCGCTTAGCGGCCTGGCTGTACAAATTTACCTTTCCACACCTCATTAAACCAGAGGAAGGAACAAATACCCTTCCTATTAGTTCAATGCCTTCCTCCGGGAGTGTACGGCTAAACTCTTCCGTAAATAAGAGACGGCTCGCCGGTTAAAAATTCAGTTACATATAGTTGTAATGTTTCTTTAATAATGGGGTGATGGCTGCAACAAGAAGGCCGACTGTGCAAATTCATGCCAAGGTTCCAAAATCCTCAGACTACAGTAACATCTAAAGTCCCTTTTAAAGTGGAACTTCACTCCACCCCCCATTAATGGGGTATCCATAAAAAAGAAATAAATACAACATACATGATCCAGTGGTGTTCTGTAGAGATCTGCTGCACCAGTGCCACACCAGGCCTGATGCCACCATCTTCTATGATGTTATCAGGGGATTGGCTCTCTTTTTTGGGCTCTTGCAGCCAGCCTCCTGATGATGCCCCCCCAGAATATCTCTTTCTGTAGAGATCTGCTGCACCAGTGCCACACCAGGCCTGGTGCCGCCATATTCTATGACATCAGGGGTTGGCTGTCTTTTATGGGCTCTTGCAGCCAGCCTCCTGATGATGCCCCCCCCCCCCCCAGAATATCTCTTTCTGTAGAGATCTGCTGCACCAGTGCCACACCAGGCCTGGTGCCACCATATTCTATGACATCAGGGGTTGGCTGTCTTTTCTGGGTTCTTGCAGCCAGCCTCCTGATGATGCCCCCCCAAAATATGACTTTCCAGGTTTTGCAGCTGGGGGTTGGCTGCAAAAGCCAGATAAGGACAGCCAATCCCTGATGGCGCATGTGTGGTAGAATACTCAGAATATCCCTTGAGCTTGTTGGATGCATGATGTGGGTATGGGAATAGTGTTCCATCACTGATGTCAGTGGGAGGAATTGTGTCCCATCATTGGTGTCAGTGGGAGGAATTGTGCCCCATCATTGTTGTCCATGGGAGCAATGGTGCCTCATTGCTGGTGTCAATGGGAGGAATAGTGTCCCATTGTTGATGTCAGTAGGGATTGTGTCCCATAATTGGTGTCAGTGGGAGGAATAGTGCCCCATCATGGATGTCAGTGGGAGCAATGGTGCCTCACTGCTGGTGTCAGTAGGAGGTATGGTGCCTCACTGCTGGTCTCAGTGGGAGAAATAGTGTCCCATCCTTGGTGTCAGTGGGAGGATTGGTGCCTCATCTCTGGTGTCAGTGGGAGGATTGGTGCCCTATCATTGATGTAAGTGGCAGAAATGGTGCCCCATCACTAGTATCAGTGGGAGATATAGTGCCCCATCACTGGTGTCAGTGGGAGATATAGTGCCCCATCACTGGTGTCAGTGGGAGGCATAGTACCCCATTGTTGGTGTCAGAGGTAGGAATGGTGCCTCATCGCTGGTCACAGTGGGGGGAATAGCGCCCCATTGTCGGTGTCAGAGGGAGGAATGGTGCCTCATAGCTGGTATTCATGATAAGAATAGTTGATCATTGGTGTTAGTGAGAGGATTAATGTGTTGTTTGGTGTCAGTGCGAGGAATAGTGCCCCATCATTGGTGCCAGTGGGAGAATTGGTGCCCCATCATTGGTGCCAACGGGAGGAATAGCGCCCCATCACTGGTGCCAACGGGAGGAATAGCGCCCCATCATTGGTGCCAACGGGAGGAATAGCGCCCCATCATTGGTGCCAACGGGAGGAATAGCGCCCCATCATTGGTGCCAACGGGAGGAATAGCGCCCCATCATTGGTGTCAGTGGGGAGGAATAGCGCCCCATCATTGGTGCCAATGGGAGGAATAGTGCTTTGTATCATTGGGAGAAATAATGCCCCAAGACCCAGATAAAAGCAAGCAAAGGGCCACACTTTGGAGACCACTGCTCTAAAATAACATGAGATGTAATAAATTCCGTGATGAGTCGTGTTTTAGGTTGGTTCCGCAAAGATTCACTAGTGTGAGAGTGTCTGTAGCTGTAACGTAAGACGTGGAGCCAGCGGCTGTGTATTTCAGACTCCATATTGTAATCCATACCCCCCCTTTTCTCGCTATACCTTAACACGGTCGTTCAACCGGTTAGGTTTTCAGGTCACAAGATCAAACTTGTCGTTCTCCAGTTTATGCGTCCTCTTGAAGAAAACGAACACTCCTGCAGAGCTGCGAAAAAAGCCCCTGAAATAAGTTTCCACATTAAACGACATATTAACACAACAGCTCTCCACGCAGCAATGTGAAAATGCTCGGCGGCTCTCTGCGAAGGCTGGCACCTGTTCGTCTTGTACGTCCGCCAAGTCGGAGCTCCCCCAGCTTGTGCGATCTTGTATGGTGGGAGGAGGTTGGGGGGGCCGCCAACAGTCCCGAGTTATGAGCTGAATTCAAAATAAGAATTGGCTTGTAGAAAGCCGCCGCCAGGAACGCTTACAAGATTTTGTAAGGAATGCTTGGAAATGGATTTAAAGCCTAACCAAACCTTTTTTTGTTTTTAGTTTTGGGTAGAGTGGAAAAAGCATTTTTTTTTTCTAGGTTTTCTTGTCTGTGACCCTGTAGATTTTTCCTTTTACTTCCTGTCCTTGGTGACAACTGCAACTCTCTTTCCTTGTACAGGTGTCACAAGACAGGAAGTTAGATGGCTTCTAATTCTTCTCTAGTCCACCAAAAAAAAATTATATTTTAGAGATGTGCCCTAAATGGGTACCGAATGGGCAATCAAAGTCTGGCTGAGACTTTAACCAGAAGGTATAAAACTGGCGGCCCTCCAGCTGTTGCCAAACTACAAGTCCCATTAGGCATTGTAAGGTTGACCGTTACAAACATGACCAGGGGCAGACTAACCAATTTGAAACTCGGGCACTGCCCAAGGGCCCGGGGTCAGTAGGAGGCCCCATGAGATGCCCCTGGTACCTTTTTCATAGGCTTTTTTTAGTTTGGACAAGGACACAGGGGCCCCATTATCCCCTATTACCCGGGGCCCCATGAGTTGTCAGTCCACCCCTGAGCATGACTCTTAAAGGTAGAGATATGATGGGACCTGTAGTTCTGCAACAGCTGGAGGGCCTTCAGTTTGACCAGCTGGAGGGCCTTCAGTTTGACCAGCTGGAGGGCCTTCAGTTTGACACCCCTAAGTTTTTAACCCATCCCAATCTTTTTCCACAACGAAATAGTGTTTTTAGCTAGAGTTGGAGTTCATGAGAACCTTTGTCAGGATGTCTTCCTCGAGACTTTGGGTAGATTTTCACTCGCTTCCTGTTTCCTCAGTCTCCTCTTCCCCAGTGATCATTCAAACTGTTCACTGTGTAGCAAGGATAGGCTGTGGTTTGGGGTGATCTGTGTCAGGCATTTGTGAACACAGCCAAGAACAGCGCAGGCACCAAGATTTATGATTGTATCATCTGCGAGTCCTGGACGTTGGTGGTGACCATGGATGATGCCTGAGTAAAGATAGTGCCACCTTCTGGATAGAAAAAGCAGATGAAAGCATTGCCGGGGGTTGGGTGGGGTGGGGATGGGGATGGGGGTACTGTGATATCTATGAGAAGTAATAAACACCTGCAGCATGCTGCACTTAACATTAAATAATATATCTGATTGCCTCAATTTAAAGTGACTCCTTCTGCTTGGTCAACAGGATGACAACTGGGGCGAAACCACCACCGTGGTCACCGGGACCTCCGAACACAGCATATCCCATGATGACATTACCCGTATCACTAAGGACATGGAGGACAGTGCCAACCTGGACTGCTCCCGCCACTTGGGCGTCATTGTGGGTGGAGCCTTGGCCTTTGTGTCTTTCCTCACCCCCATTGCCTTCATGCTGTTGCCCAAAATCTTACCATGGGATCTGGAAGCTTGTGGCACGCCCTGCGAGGGCCTCTTCATCTCTGTGGCCTTCAAACTCCTCATCCTCCTGGTGGGCAGCTGGGCACTCTTCTTCCGGCGCCCCAAGGCCTTCTTCCCCCGGGTGTTCGTCTTCCGGGCGCTCATCATGGTGCTTATTTTCTTGCTGGTGGTGTCCTACTGGCTCTTCTACGCTGTCCGAATTCTCACCACCGCTGAGAGGAATTACCAGGGAATAGTACAGTACGCTGTGTCACTGGTGGACGCATTGCTCTTTGTTCACTACTTGGCAGTAGTCTTGCTGGAGTTACGGCAACTGCAACCTCAGTTCACCATCAAGGTTGTCAGGTCCACAGACGGAGCAAGCAGGCACTACAATGTCGGGCACTTAAGGTAAGCCAAAATATTTTTAAAGTTTGTTGTGTGTATGGTAGAGCTCTCATGGATAGCTTGGATGAGCCCTCGCCTAGAGCTTGGATGAGCCCTCGCCTAGAGCTTGGATGAGCCCCTCGCCTAGAGCTTGGATGAGCCCTCGCCTAGAGCTTGGATGAGCCCTCGCCTAGAGCTGGGATGAGCCCTCGCCTAGAGCTGGGATGAGCCCTCGCCTAGAGCTGGGATGAGCCCTCGCCTAGAGCTGGGATGAGCCCTCGCCTAGAGCTGGGATGAGCCCTCGCCTAGAGCTGGGATGAGCCCTCGCCTAGAGCTGGGATGAGCCCTCGCCTAGAGCTGGGATGAGCCCTCGCCTAGAGCTGGGATGAGCCCTCGCCTAGAGCTGGGATGAGCCCTCGCCTAGAGCTGGGATGAGCCCTCGCCCAGAGCTGGGATGAGCCCTCGCCCAGAGCTGGGATGAGCCCTCGCCCAGAGCTGGGATGAGCCCTCGCCCAGAGCTGGGATGAGCCCTCGCCCAGAGCTGGGATGAGCCCTCGCCCAGAGCTGGGATGAGCCCTCGCCCAGAGCTGGGATGAGCCCTCGCCCAGAGCTGGGATGAGCCCTCGCCCAGAGCTGGGATGAGCCCTCGCCCAGAGCTGGGATGAGCCCTCGCCCAGAGCTGGGATGAGCCCTCGCCCAGAGCTGGGATGAGCCCTCGCCCAGCTGGGATGAGCCCTCGCCCAGAGCTGGGATGAGCCCTCGCCCAGAGCTGGGATGAGCCCTCGCCCAGAGCTGGGATGAGCCCTCGCCCAGAGCTGGGATGAGCCCTCGCCCAGAGCTGGGATGAGCCCTCGCCCAGAGCTGGGATGAGCCCTCGCCCAGAGCTTGGATGAGCCCTCGCCGAGAGCTTGGATGAGCCCTCGCCCAGAGCTTGGATGAGCCCTCGCCCAGAGCTTGGATGAGCCCTCGCCCAGAGCTTGGATGAGCCCTCGCCCAGAGCTTGGATGAGCCCTCGCCCAGAGCTTGGATGAGCCCTCGCCCAGAGCTTGGATGAGCCCTCGCCCAGAGCTTGGATGAGCCCTCGCCTAGAGCTTGGATGAGCCCTCGCCTAGAGCTCGATATATTGTTCAGCTTGTGCAGTCTGATAGATTTGCAAGAGATGAGGTAAAGCACAATCTCTCCACAACGGTATGACTAAGCAGGAAGCAGACAATGCAATGTAATTGGAAAAATGTTTGCTCCACCATGAATCTGTATAAATAAAAATATTACATAGAATACAAAAGGTTTGTTTTTTTTTTTTTTTTTTAAATTTCAGATCTCATGGAAAAGGAGGTCTAGCTTCAGTTTTTTGGGGGTTTTTTTCTGCTTTCTATTGTTGTTCCCTTAAAATGACTCCTAACTTCCTGTCTTGGTGACAACATTGCCACCAAGGCAGGATGTGATGGGAGATCTGCCACTGGAAAAGCAATAAACTACACGTTTTGTCATGGGGGGGGTTGGGGAAGGGGAAGACCAAACAAATTAAACTCCAGCTCTAAGTTAATCCATGACAGGGGCGGACTGACCATTCGAGTACTCGGGAACTGCCCAGGGGCCTGGGGTCAGTAGGGGGCCCCATGTGATGCCCCGGTACCTTTTTGCCATAGGCTTTTTTGGGTGTGGGCAAGGACACAGGGGCCCCATGATCCCCTAATGCCCGGGGGCCCCCATGAGTTGTCAGTCCTCCCCTGATCCATGATCATCTCTCTTCAAAACAGCCCCAATGTTCCCGTATCCGAAGCACAGCACTCCTTGTAATGAAAAGTGGCTGAACAGGTCACACAAAGATTCTTATCCTAGACAAGGCTTATCTACCGACAAACTTTATTATTTCCAAATTAGGGCACTAAAAGTGACTTATTTTATCTTTATAGTTTAATGAGTTTACTGCCCCAACCATAAACTAATTCTGCAGTCTAAACATAGACAATTAAACCACCATTTATTGGCCCTCTACATATAGAGTAAGCACGGGCCCTGAAGCAACGTCCTTAGATCATTTTAAACTGCAACTCCAGCCAAAACCCATTTTAATTTTTGGCTAGAACAGGGGTGCTCAACCTTTTGAAGCATGAGGGCCACTTTAGTGATTTAGTAATTGACCTCGGGCCACAGTGAAATGGTTCAGGATGTCAAGTATTTTCTTTTGAATAGCATAATGAACATTTTCCACCTGCAGTTGCTGAATGCCAGCAGGAGGGAGAGGAGGAGAAGCCTGATTTCAGAGGTTTGCAGGAGGAATATGGAGAGGATCGGTTCCTGTATATGCCACCCCCGCTGTCCCTCCTGTCCAAGTGTAAAATACAATGTGATAGGGAGGCCGCATGGGCCCCCTGGAGCATGGGGCAGAGTCACCACTGCCTTAACTTATTATACCACACACCCCCAATTACTTGTGTAGCAACACATCTAGACTATGGGGTTTTACCTTCTCCCTCCCCCTATCTGCAAATGTAAATGAGCCTTTACTGTCCTGAGCCCCCTATGAGACTGCTTTCACAATGATAAGCTGCGGTTTACCCCACACCACGGGGGCAGCACAGTGCACCTGCAGCTTTCCTGTGCCATAGACTTCTACTATATCTTGCGGGTGTGGTGCACTTTCTGACAGCACACCAAAACTCTGGAGTTTTAGTGCGCTTTCAGAAAGCGCACCAAACCCACAGGATATAATAGAAGTGAGCTTCCCTGTTTGAGGTTGAGGGCCACATAAAAGAACTCCCACGGTCACAGGTTGAGCACCCCTGGGTTAGACTAAGGAAGAGGTAGAACTATGTCTATATTCCTATACTATATGGTTAAGAGTTTGTGGACCCCTGATCATCACATCTGCAATATGACCAGAGGAATGCAAGGAACCTGAGTGTCACGTACAGAGCCCAGACCTCTACTCTACTGAGATGAAACACCAGTTGTGAGCCCGGTCTCCTCATCCAACATCAGTACCTTAACTCGGCCTATTGAACACCTTTTGGATGAGTTGGAATATCAATTGTGAGCCAGGTCTTCTCTTCCAACATCAGTATCTGATCTCAACCCTACAGGATCACTTTTGGGATGAGTTGGATTGCCTATTGTAAGCCAGGTCTCCTCATCCAACATCATTGACCTCAACCTTATTGGATCACCTTTGCAATGAGTTGGAACTCCTATTGTGAGGCCATCATATCTACAATATATCCAAAGGAACTCTGGTATGCACAGAGCTCTGACCACAACCCTACTGAAATGGAACACCAGTTGGGAGCCCGGTCTCCTCATCCAACATCAGTACCTTAACTTGGCCTATTGAACACCTTTTGGATGAGTTGGAATATCGATTTTGAGACAGGTCTTCTCTTCCAACATCAGTATCTGATCTCAACCATACAGGATCACCTTTGGGATGGGCTGGATTGCTTATGGAGAGCCAGGTCTTCTCATCCAACACCAATACCTGACCTCAAGCTTACTTGACCACCTTTGGGATGAGTTGGAACGCCTATTGTGAGAACATCACATCTACAATATGATCAAAGGTATGCAAGGAACATGAGTGTCCCACACAAAGCCCTGACATCAACTCTGCTGAGATGGAACACCTGTTGTGAGCCAGGTCTCCTCATCTTAACATCAGTACCTGACCTCAACCCTACAACTTTTGGATGCATTGTAATACAGATTGTGAGCCAGGTCTCCTCATCTAACATCAGTACCTGACCTCAACCCTACAACTTTTGGATGCATTGTAATACCGATTGTGAGCCAGGTCTTCTCATCCAACATCAGTACCTGACCTCAGCCCTACGACTTTTGGATGCATTGTAATACAGATTGTGAGCCAGGTCTTCTCATCCAACGTCAGTACCGGACCTCAACATTACTGGATCACCTTTGGGATGAGTTTGATCGCCTATTGTGAGCCAGGTCGCCTCATCCAACATCATTGACCTCAACCTTATTGGATCACCTTTGCAATGAGCTGGAACTCCTATTGTGAGACCATCATATCTACAATATAACCAAAGGAACTCTGGTATGCACAGAGCTCTGACCACAACCCTACTGAGATGTAACCCCAGTTGTGAGCCAGGTCTTCTCATCCAACATCAGTACCTGACCTCAACCCTATTGAACGACTTTTGAATGAGTTGGAATACCGTTTGTGAGCCAGGTCTTCTCATCCAACAGAAGTACCTGACCTCAGCCCTACTGGATCACCTTTTGGGATGTGTTGAAACCCCTTTTGTGAGCCAAATCTTCTTATCCAACATCAGTACACAGACACACTCCAAGATCTCATGGAAAGCCTTCCCAGAAGCTTGTAGTATCCTATAGCTGCGACGGCAGGCAAAATCGATATTAATGGCCATGGTTTTGAAATGGGATGTGCAACAAATTCATAAGGGTTGTGATGGTCAGGTGTCCACCAACTTTCGTCCATACAGTGTATCTATAACTGCTTCTTCATGTTTCTGGTCACTGCAGGGGTAGACTGACAACTCATGGGGCCCCAGGGCAATAGGGGAT